TATATCTTACAACACACAATTATTTAAATGGCGGTAGACTTTTATTAAACAAAATTATAACACTAAAATAGACGTATAAACACTAAAAGAAAATATATGTATATACAGTAAGGAAAAATAAAATAATCGAAGTAAACATAATACACGATGACAACAGCGGCGGGGTGTAGCGGTCGTGTAGCGTATCGCGGACTAGACAGTCTGAACTGAACTAACTGAACTGACTGATTCTTCCGATATATATATAGCTCCGATAAGGCTCTCGCTAATTCTAGAATATTCTATACCCGCGTAGGTTATCTTATGGCGTTATCGAAGTTTCTCGAAGGTTTTTGATAACGAGAACATTCGAGAATATTCGTTGCGTATGTTTTGGTCGCTACAATATACTTAATGTTATAGTTTATAATAGAAAATAAGTCAATAGTTTTAAAATTACAGAGTGTTCAGTAAGTTAGGAAACAGTTAAATTGTTACAAACAATGAGAACAATAGAAATTCGTTTCCTTATTTACTGAACACTCTGTATAAATAAATTTTTCTTGTTATTTCAAAATATTTTTATTTAAAATATTTGGACATAAGCGTCAGGTAGTGATCGAAAAAGGCTAAACCCCTCCTTCGTTTAAAAATTAGCTCTCCCAATTTATATGCTTTGCCGTAAAAATATTATCTCTCACAAGGAGAATAATTATATTTAGCACTCCCCAACAAATCTTTCATACATTTTTATACATTTTTAGTACATAATTTCATGTATTTTTTTTTAGTTCTTTGACGCATCAATTACGAGTTCTGTTGATAACTTATAATAATTCACCATAGGTTTATATTTTTAATTTTATAATATTACTTAAAAGTCTTTAATTTGTATTTTATATTTAACATTATTTCACTTTAAAATGTTAAGTACATCATTCAAATTGTTTTTTTATTAAGAAAAAAAAATATTGTGCTCGCCCCTCAAAGATTTAGCTTGCTTTTTCCTGCCTCCTCGGGGAAGAATTCCGATTCTGTGCCTTATTCGATTCCACATAAACATAATAGTTAAAAGACTTAAAATAAAAAATAAACAGACATTTTCGTAGTCTAATATTTTGGAAAAAAATTAAATCAGAAAGTGTTATATTATTCCTGTCAGTCATTGTTTCAAAAAAATGTTTAACCATGACACTAATTAAATAATTGTTAATTAGCCTTGAATATGATAGAAAATGATGTCAATGTTTAATATACTCAGTTTGTTTAACTATGTTAGTGTTAATATAATTTAATTTATTAGACGTTATGAATATACTAAATGTTTCTATTTTCCTTATAATGAATTGAAATGTAACTGGACCACTTAGAAATTTTCTTATTACAATTAATCAAACAATTCTAACGAAAGTCATATTAACTTTGGGTCTTACGTCTTGTGCCTACTAGTTATAGAAGACTTACCAATTTTTGTTTTACTGAAGCCAAGACTTAATTGAATTTATACGACCCTGACAAAATTTATTAACGTACATTTGAGTTTTAACTATTATAATATAAATGTTTTGATAATTACTACAATCGTTGTTTTTTTTGTCAAATAACTGTTTGGTTAAAGTATGTGTTAGTTAATTTATTATTGCAAAAAGATATTTCCCAGCAGTCTAGAACACGTCTTTTATTTCTCTAATTTTAAAAAAAGGAGACCATTCTGTATCTATAGATTCGCAAAGCGTTTTTTATGATGATAATTTTGATCACTGTCAGAAATTATCTATACTTGTGTTAACTATGCTGCCTTTATTTTATACTCTTGCTCTTTCAGGTGTAATAATAATAAAATTAATATTTTTTGTTTATAAAAACATTTTTCAAAATCATATACTTCACAGTTTAAACACTCGTCAAAATATTTCAAGCCTTGGTCGGCATTAAACTATTATAAAAAATAGGTGTCATTATGTACATAATAGAATCTTGCTTTCGAAAGTGAAACATTTTTCCAGTAGAGCGCGTTTCGACAGACGCTATCGAAACGAAACATAAAACCGCCAATCATGAAATTTTATTAAACGTGTGTATCGCATGCAATATCAATGTAAATTTTTACCGTTGCTTACCTGATCGCTAACGTTCGATAATTTTTATCACAAACAGAATATTTTTTTATCTAAGTAATAATAACAATCGAATTAAATATATTCAATGTTATTAACATAATTTGCAAATCAGTTGTTAACGTAGCGTGAATTTTGAAACGGTGTTGTAGTGTAGACCTATCTTACGGCGTGTTTCGACTTCATTACATTCAAGTCTTCAGTTAATCTCATGAAATTAAATTAATATATTAATTACTTCATTCGTTTACTGCAGTGCCGGGTTCTAAGCTAATATTTCTCTCAAAACAATTTATATATACCATATTTTTAAACGAGTTATCCTTTCTTTTGTGAATTACGCTTATTGCAAGTATCGCTTTATTTATAATAACTATCCATAGTTATTATTTTACAGTAAAATAATATTAATGTCTAAGAAATGTACCGAATTAAATGCTGTTAAATTACTGCAATCATAAAATTTATTATATTCATTATGTCATCCTTGATGATTGTAGACGCCCTTTCTTTTACTGTACTCTTTCTCATTTTTATTCCATTTCTTATATTTTTTCTGGGTATTGTATTATTTGCATACATTGGAAAAACTCTTGGTATTCGAAGAATTTATGTCGAATTTCTTGTCAAAGTATTTGAGGTAAGGAATTATTAAATTGTATTATAGTTTAAATTTTTTAATAACATAGATTTTTAACAAAACTAAATTTAATTACGCAGATTGATAAAATTTGGGTCAAGAAGTGTTAATGTATTTTATTTATTTTTATGAATATTTAATTTAAAGAATGTCATTAGATTTTCTTTATAATCAATATTAGAATCACAATTTGAATGTTTGTAAAATTTCTGTTTTTACATAAAATGTGACTCAAAAGAAGTAAAAAAAAATTTTTTTAATAAATTTTGATAATTGTGCAAATTTTATTTAAATAATTATTTAAAAAATAAAATTAGTCTAATTATGGCATATGACAAAATTAAAATGTATACATTTTTATACCAAATATTAAAGATGACCTTTAAATGCTAATATTTATAAAATCTGGTTGGGATATAATTTCTTTAGATAATTTTTAAAAAATTATTTAACCCTATAAGTATTAGCAAATCATAATTTCGTTAAAATAAATTATGTAAATCTTAACAATGATAATTACCTTTAGAGGTATGAGAGATATAATTCAATTTCCAATATATTTAAATTTAACTAAGTATTTAAATAATAAGTAAATGAAGTAAATTTTTGATGTTTTATTTTAATTAAATAATTTTGATAAATAATCTAGTTTAATTATTTGTCAAAAACTGCGAGTAAAAAAATATTATTAGACATTTGAAATTTGAAATTCTTAAATTAACCTAGTAATTACTTTTAAGTGCACTAATTACTGTATATGACATTATTAAATATTAATTTTAAAACAGCTTGTTTTGTATTTAATAATTTAATATGAAATAGTTTTCAATAGAGATGAAGGTTCTGGTTTGAGATTTTCCATTAAATTGTTTGAATTTAGTGTTTAAATTTTGATATGCCCTATTTGTAGTCTGTCAATCATTATACATGCTTTAAAAAGGAAAGTTAAAGAATCATTATTGTACACATTGGATTTAATCTTATAGAGTTGGATTATATTAGATTGATAATTAATTTTAAATTCTGTAAGATACATAAGGATGTTTAACTTAAGGATGATAACTGAAAGTTTCCAAAAAATATAATGTTTAAATAAAGTTATTTTTCATTTGTGAGTAATTGAGTGGGTTATGATAAAAAAATCTCTCTGTATATACAAGTGTCCCATNTGTTTAAATAAAGTTATTTTTCATTTGTGAGTAATTGAGTGGGTTATGATAAAAAAATCTCTCTGTATATACAAGTGTCCCATCAAGTTTTGAAATGTTTAATAACTTTTATTACAGTAAATATTTGGAGTTACTTTTTTTTTTTTTTAATTTTTAAAACAGTAATTTTTTTTTACAAAATATGTTGGTGGGTCATATCAATTTTAGGATAACTACTTTTTGAATTATGAATAGTTTAATACATAGAGTAAGTATGTAGCATAGGTGAATACTGCTCTTACTGATGTATATTTATAATGCATTTCCTGATCGCAATATATACTTACTGTATGTATTAAAATGATTGTAACTATATAAAAACTTTTTATAAAATTGATATTGACCCATCAACATTTTTTGTAAGAAAAAAGCTAAAAAATGACTTTAAAAGTAAATAATAAAAATATATTTTTAACATAGTCTAAAACTTAAAATTAAAAAAAAAAATTTACCAAAAATATTTATAGGATCAAAAATGATTAAAGATATTTAATCCTGGTATGACACCTGTATATGTATAAATATACAGTTATATATTGTTTTACTAATTTTCAAATAAGTGCAATAACTAAATGGTGTATTTTGGAATTTCCTATGGAGATGGTTGAAATAACTCTCATAATATAGAGCATTAGGGAGCTACATTATCCATACCCAATGATCATGATTTTATATTAATGGCTCTAGACCGCATGTGCCATTCACAAATACATAACTGCAATAAGTTAATATAAAGTTAAAACTTCTTGATGTTATGTAATTAACATTAATATAAGCATCTTGGTGTCTTTTAATTATAATAATAAAAAATCAACTATCCAAGTACAATATTTTAGATAATCAAATTAAACAGAAAAAATATATTTGTAAACATTACTAGACGAATAGTCTTTATGGAAATAGAACATTCCAAAATGAGGGCTTGAAAAAGTTAAATTTAAGAAAAATATTTAAGGAAAAAATTATGATTACTATTTACTTGGATAATTGATACCATTAATACAAAAGGACCATTGTCATGGTTAATGAAAAGATTAAAAATAAAAGCAAACTATCAGTTTCAGACTGTATTATTGCTCATAAGTCTCTTTCTTTGTTTAAATTTAACATTATTTAATTTAATGAATTTAAATTTGACCTTGATTAAATGACCTGATAACAATAACAACCTTTTTTATAAATTTATGTACTAATATAAAGAAGTAGTAAGTATCTTAAATTAAAAATAGAATATAACTTAAACTATTTAAAACAATGAAACTTCCTGTAAAAAGTCTTAACAATTGTTACGATTCATGATTTATCTAAAGTCAATTACAGATTATATTAAAAAATGTATTTATATTAGTTAAAAATTAAGCATTGTAATAGAGTGCCTGGTCATTGTATCGTTTTAGCTTTAGTTTTTAAAAGGATAGTTATTGTGCGCACTCCATGCTGAATTTTATAATTAAAAATCAATTTTAATATAAGTATAATAAGGTATTTCATTTGATCATTTGACTCCTGTACTCAATAGTTAAAGATTCATCTATCTTGAGCTAGTTGTTGATTCACCACGAAGTGTCCCATAGTGTAGTCCAACATAAGTATCCCACTACTTTCATTGACTGAGCATTTTACTAGAAGGTAAACTTATTAAAATTATATCAGATTTTTCAATAGAAATTAATTTACCATTCAAAGAATTATTATTAGTGCTAATAACATACTTTATTTTAATTTAAATGAAGAATTCTAATTATTTTTTAATCAAGGCGGTCAAATCTAGAAATTATATGCATATACAAAAAAATAAATTGTTAAAAGTTATTTAGTAGTGTTAAGAAAATGAAGTTTTATGCAATTTTCAATGTCACTCTGGTGGCTTTTTGAATATATTTTTATACAATTTAGTTATTTATTATTGGTTAAATTATAAAAAAATTAGTAGGCATGTTTTGTTTTAGTCATTATATACAATGCTAGGTTATCCATTTTGCCCTTAACATGTAACTAAATTTTAGAAAAAAATTCATTTTTTATAATTTTTTAGTAATTTTAAATAAAATTACTTTTATAATTCGATATTAATAAAATTTATTAATATGCATAAGATTGATTACAAACATTATTAAACCATTAAGTGAATTAAGTAATTTCCATGGATTTAAAAAAGCTAGAACCTATAAGCAGAAGTGCTTTATAATTTTTTTAAATTATGAATTTTTCTGTTTATTTTGTTTATTACACACAAATATAATTATTCCATATTTTTTCAATTTTAAAAACGAATATTTTTCTTTTAATAAAAATTATCTCATTATTCTCTTTGAACTTTACTCTTTAGATAACATTTGTTCAACTCTTAAAGATAAAACACTTTATTTTTACTGCAGAATTTATTTAAATCACATTAAACTATTACAAAATTATAATATTAACTTTTATTAATTTTATGAATCTTCTTTTTTTGTATATGATTTAATTAAGAATATATTTTAATAACTTTGAACTTTAATGACATTAAATCATACAGAACTATTTACTGCTTATAATTTCTATGTTATCATTACAATGGATATGCAGTTACTTAGTGTGTTAGAATACATACATAGTTAAATTGTTTGAATATTTTTTTTGATTTTATAGTTATAAGTTTGAGTAATTTGGTTTTATAAGCATGTGCAGATGAGAACTTATAATAAAAGATTTTACTTTTATGGCCAGTATAACTTTTTTAAATTAACGATTGATGCTAAATATAGAAAATAAGGAAAATAAAGTGGGCGAATGGCATTTATCTAAAAAAATTTGCATTAAATTTATTTACCAATAAGAACTAAATGTTGGTTATATTTAAAAGGAAAGATTAATATGTCAATAACTAATACCTTTATTAGTTATTTTATGAAAAAATTGAGATATTTGGTAAAATTGTTAGTACAAATTAATTTTGGGCAATATTAGACATGTGTGTTTGTAATCCTGCCCATGGGTATAGGTTATGATAAATATCCATGATCTTAAAATTTAGTTAGAGCAATAAAAAATGGCAAATTTACTTTTATAAAACTAAAATACACAGCTAGTTAATAATATTTTTATTTCACAAAAATATAATCATTATAACTACAGGAAAATATAAAATCTATGTTTATTTTAAATAACATATTTTATAATTAGACTATCATATGAACAAATTAAAAAAATTCAATAAAAATCATCAAAATTTAATATTAATAATGGTAAACTTTTAGTGGGCCTCATAAAACCAAAGTTAGTTTTCTAAATAAACATTGTTCTTCTTCCTTTACCTTGCCTTTGTCCCAACTACTTGGGGTCAGTCACCCTTATCCTAAACTTCCACTTAACACAATCTCACACATCATTTTTGCACACATCATAAGTCCTCAAATCACATTCAATAGCATTCCTCCATCTCTTTTTTGATCTTCCTCAACCTCTTCTTCATTCAACATTAATTTCCATAACTGTTTTTATAGCTTCAGATTCTTCTCTCTTCATAACATGACTAAACTATTTAAGTCTATTTTCTCTCATCTCAAGAGCTGATCTCTACACCTCTAGCCTTTGATTAATTTCCTCCCTATTTTCTTCTATTAACACTATATTGTCAGCAAACAACATGCACCACGGCACCTCTCCTTGTATTTCTCTAGTAATTTCATCTATCACTATAGAGAATAAGTAAGGGCTTAAAACAGAACCTTGGTGCATTCCTACTCTTACCCGAAAACTTTCTGATACTCCTTCTAAGCTTTTTACCTTAGTACAAGTGCCATTATACATATCTTCTATTATATTAATGTACCTTTACCGATGTCTCATTTCTTATTCTCTTATCTATTACCTTTTCCCAAATTTTCATACTATAACTCATAAACTTATGCCTCTATAATTTCCACACTCCTATATGTCACCTTTACCTTTAAATGTCGGCACCTCAATACTATTTTTCCATTCATTTGGAATTTTCCCTTCTAACAAGATTCTAAAATTTTCTTCAACCACCTTATGCCAACAGCGCCTAATAATTTCCATACTTCTACTGGCACTTCATCTGGTTCTACTGCTTTATTCTTTAAAGTTCATTAGGTTAAATATGTCAAAGTATAATAAGTAATATATCAAAGTGTAGTTAAATATGTATGATACCATGTAAAAAAAGAAGTTGACAACATTATAAGGAATGAGTTTAATAAAAACTTAATAATTAATAAATCGAAAAGTAAAATTAAAAATACTATAAGAATATCTTAATATAATTATTAATTTAAGGGAGATCGATTGGCTTATATTAAAAGAAACACTCTGTACACTACAATTTATAACTTTTTATAATTTCTTTGTAAAAATTACAATATTAATTTATTAAATATCAATTAATATCACACTAAATTTAATTACTATAATAACTATTTATTCATGTTTTATATTTATAAATCATACAAATTTTTATCAGGAAATAAATAATAAATTATGAGTTTTTGTTGCTTTTGAAATTATTCAATATTTCCTTTCAAAACACTGCAAATTTGCTTTAAGTCGTTTTTTATGATAGTGATTATAATCATTGTCAGATATCATCTACACTTGTCTAAACAATGTCACGTACCCACTGTGCCGCGACCCCCCTGTGCTGGGTTTTTTATAATTACTATTGTAAATTTATCAGAAAAGCTCAATATTTTTTTGCATTTGATGTATCATTGAAAAGAGTAGGTCAAGTTAGAGCAGAGAAAATAAATGATAGTCACATAAAAATATCTTCTCTGCTTTGTATCGAATCCAAAACCTAAAATAAAGTAAAATAATTTTAATATGAATAAGAAATTTTTTTTCACGAGGGGCGACTACAGTAATTGGATCCTTGATCTTTATTGAAGTTCATCAAAATCGGTCCAGCGAGAGCTGAGATTGAGCATTCACAGACACAAAAAAATAAAAAAACATGTCATAGTAAAATTAATACCTTCTCAACTTGGCATCGAAACTAAAATAATGACAGATTGATTTTTAAATTATACTTTTTTTTGTTTTTCAAAATTCAATTTTAATAGTTCATAGCAAAAAAGTATAAAGTTTATATCTCCAAATTTTATATAAATTATTGTGATAATATAAACATTTCTAATATTAGTAAATACATCAAACACTAATTTATACAGCTATTCAATGCAGCTCAAATTTTAATGGTAAAATAATAATTTATTTTGAATCAATAATATAAAAAAATCATTTTATAGCTATTCATCAATAACTAATAAAATATTTTAATAAAAATATGTATTATTACTTATTGATAATCAAATGTAATTATATATTGGATATGTATTTTTATTTTTAGTATGGAAGAGAAAATCTTGAAAAGCAGTCAAAAAAAAAAAATGTAATAGTTGAAGAAACAGACAATGATGAGACTGATGTTGATGAATCTAATTTGGAAAATGAAAATGATAATAATGCAGCAGATTATACTATAAATGAGACAGTTTCCAATACTACTGAGAGTAATGGATTTATCACTAGAAACAGTTCATCTAGTAGTCTATTAAATGGAAATACTGATAAAAAAATGCAAAATGGTGCACCACCTCTTATTAGTAGACAAGATTTAATATTAGTACCTGATCCAGATCAAAATTATAATGGAAATAATAATGTCAAAAGCGAAGGGGTTAGCTCTTATATAATTTATTACCATTATTTGTAATTATTTATAATAATATGAATTGTAGTATATAAAATAATTATTATTGATAAAAATAGCCAGTTATTTAATTTTAATTAACTAACTATTGCTCGACTCCTAGATTAAAATTTGTAGTGTTGAAAGTAAAAAAAAAAATTACTTTTTTATAAATAGAGCGCTCAGAAGCCAAGTAAGTTAATTCCACTTTTTTTCAAATCACTTTCTTTCAAAAATATTCACTTTTTTATTCCAACCATGATCTTATTTTTATTATGAAAAAGTGGAGTTGATCAATTTAGCTTCAAGATACCTTAAATCATATATCATAAAACATATAATATAATACAATATAATCATAATAATTATATTTTTATTTTGTTATTTAATTTTATTTAGGGCAAACAAATCTTACAAAGGACTCGATCATTTAATACTTTAAAACGAGAATTTGAATTAGCAGATGTACTGGATTATGTTAAAACAGGTGTTGAAGCCATAATTGAAGATCAAGTTACTTCAAGATTTGAAGCTGAAGAACTAAAAGTTATTCAATATTCTTTTATTATTTATTTAACTATATTTAGTTTGAAAAAGTTTTATCATATAGATGGTCTAGTGTATGAGAAGGTAGACATGTATTTGTAAAGGGGTTCAAAGGGTATGCATTCTTTCTCGCCCCAAGATTTCTGTGACAAAAAATCCTTACAGATTTTAAACAAAATTCATTTTTGTGTTACTTAACACTAAAAGCAATATAATAACGTAGTATTGTTTTATAAAGCAAAAGTTTGACCATTCTAATACGAATTTTTTGATGAATGTGTCATTGTTTCAATGTCTTATGTGTTTATGAGAACTATTTATCTAACAATATTAAAATAAGTAATTCAATTATGTTATTTTTACAATAGTTTTGCATCATTGTTATAATTATTATGTTGGCAGTGTTTTTCTTTTGATAAGTTCGATATAAATCATAAGCAACAACTCATAATTTTTATTAGCCGGTTATAGCGTTTATCACACTTTAATGTATTCTTTTAATTATCATGAAGCTAATGAACTTTATAAATATTTTTTAAACCAGCAGTTAAAAATCAGTAGGCTAACTATAATCCGATTAACAATTTCACCCATTACAAAATACTATTTTGAATAAAAAACTGTGGTCCTTGTTTGATTTAGGGAAGGAAGTTATTCCTGTTATTCGACCATCCTCATATTTGTTATTAATATATAATCTTTATTGCATAGGAAAAAAAATTAGTCAGCTACTTCATTTCCTTAAAATATTCTTCAATTTTTAAGTATAGAGGTTTTAAGTCTCTAGCTATATTCAACTTAAAGCAAAGACAGAGAATAGGACTTAATGAGATGGATTGTTAGAGAATCATAAATGAATATTTAAAATATTTTTCTAAAAATTCTATTTGAAAAAAAAATGAATGTTTTTTGAAGTGAAACTTCTTTATAGAAGGCCTGAAATAAAAAACAGATTATCGAGCGTCATGGTTGGCTGTAACGTTTTGCCGTTACTGTCAGCTGTAAAGTATATTTTATATTATAATTTAGTACTGTATTTTTGAAAATTAAAGTAATTTTATTTAAAATGTATTAAATAATTTAATTTCAAATAATTTTGATTGTGCATAAAAAAATTTTAAAGAACCACTATAGATAAAATTTTCACTTCATCTGCGCATTGGGTTTGGTTAGACAGGTTTTTTTTTTTTTAATAATTTACTAGTGCATTTACTAGTTTTTAATATTTTTAGTCGTGGAATTTACTTACAAGAACAAATAGACATTATGAGTTTATCAACTGGAAAATTACAGTTATTTGGATGATTGGATTCTTTATAAGATATACATTCTTATTACCATTGCGAGTTTTAATTTGCTTTTTTGGGGTGAGTATTTTAATTAGAATAAATTTAAATTTATACTATTTTTTTAAAAATCATGCTTTTCAATGAAACTAAAAATTAAATAATAGGAAAACAATTAGATATTTTTATTTTCATAAATTTCAGGTAACAAGATAACTAGAACTTGCTAAAAAAAACTACCTAAAAGATTTAGATTGTGTTATAAATAATTCGAGGCTTATATTCTGAATATCTTAATTAAAAATAACTAAGAAAATTTTGCTGTTTCTTAAAATCTCAGACTTATGTGAAAAAAAATATATTGGACAAATTTCCCTAATCTATTAATTATAGTAATCATACTATAAACTAACATTCACTAGGCACCTTAGATTGTCCTAGTTGATGCTTTCATAATATGATAATTTTCCCAATTTTTGTAGTGGTTTTTGATTATTATTAGTAAATGTTGCTAATCAATAAATTGTTTAATGGTAAAAAAAACAAAGAAATAAAAAATTTTCAAATCATACAGATGATCAAACTAATAAGAATATTACTACCACATCCACTCATAAAAAATTGGGACACACTATAGATCTTAAAACTATTACTATTACATCCTGTATTAAATACATCATATTTCCTCTATAAAATTTTTAAAATCTTGATTTCAACAGATATTTATGTAATATATGCCTCTTTAAAATCTTTATTTTTACAATAAATGAAATTGTTTGGTTTCCTATAAAAAAAAATTTAAATTAATAGAATTTATTTATTTTTAATTGTTTTTATTGTTAGTATGAAAATTATTCAATCTACAGGTTTTGTGGTTTAATATTTCAATCGGTATTATTTGGTTGATTCCCAATGAACGACTATCACAAAAGAGTTATTTGACTGGTGTTTTTCAGTTTATTTTTATGTTGAGTCAATATATTTTAACTATAGTTATTAATGTCCATAATCCACAATGGATTCCAAAAAGTAATGGAATTTGTGTAGCTAATCATACCTCACCAATTGATATTGTCATTTTATTTGCTCACAACTATTATATATTGGTAAATAGTAAAATTTTATGCATAGCTTCAGTATTTCACTAATATATTACTTCAGTCACATATTTTAATAAAAATGATCTCATATTATCTAATTAATATCAAATACACAAATTTTCAAATATATGGCAAATATGAAATTGTAATATAATTTTAAATGAAAGTGAAGAAAAAATTATCAAGACCCATTATTTTAAAATGATTATGTAATATAGACTTGCAAAAAACTTTTGGCATAAAGAATGCTGAAGGTATGATATAGAGCACTGTATTTAACAATATCTGATCCATTCAAAAAGTTAATTATAAGATTAAAGTTATTGATAAGTTCACTTAATTAACTACCAAAAATTTAAATCTCTAATATCATTATTTTTTGAAATATAGAAAAAAGATGACAAGTTATTAGACTAGTGAGAATTAGTGGTAATTTTTAAAGAATAAAAAAAAAAATTATAATTATAAAATTTCCTTTATGAATTTAAGTTTTTTATAACTTAAAATGATCAGTTTTAAATCCTTCTATTTCCCAAACTTAAAATGCTATAGAAGGTGGCAACCATCTTTCTCGTATTAGCGAAACAAAGATGGTTCATAGCTAATGATGGTCCGGACAGGTAATATAACAAGATTGTACCAGAAACTAGACACCATCAATGATAAATTACAAGAAAAATCTCGTTACCACCATGGGGATAAAACCCAGGACCCTGTACGCCAAAACATGTGTTTCTACCCATTGGGTCAGGCCAGCCCCTTAAATTTCTTATAATTTAATTTAAAAAAATATAGTGCGAGATATTAACCATAATTTTGAATAACATAACAACATACACAGAGCTTATTTTTATAGAATAATTTATAATTAAAAACTATAATTTTAATCATTAAATTAATAGTAGTAATAACAATAAAAATATAATTCATGAAAAATTACTAATGATTATTTAAATAGTATACATATTAGTTATAGATAAAGAGAATTTTTGTAATCTAATCCCATAAAATTATTCATATATATGTAAAAATAAACTAATATAAATTTCAAATCAATCAGAACATTTTAACCCATGCCTCTTTAGGGTTGAAAATTGAGCAATAAGGGTAGTTTCTTAGTTATTGGCATATATCTGATAAAATATTACTCACAGAAAAAAAGCAGAATTTAAATTGTAGATATAAATAATTTTATAAATTAAATACTTTCAAACTTTTTGATAAATCTATCAAGTTTAACTGAAAAATTATAGAATACATCAAATTTAGTCGATTTTACAAAATAGAAATATGTATAAAAAAAATTTAGAAAATTAAATTATAAACATTTTTTATTTGAGATATCTATTTATAACTCTAATAGTTCTTGAAATATAAAGGAAAAATTGTAAAAAAAAATATTTCTATTTTGTAAAACAAACTAAATTAAATTTTATTCTATAAATTTTTAAAATAACTGATATGTTTATTAAAAAAGTTGTAAGTACTTAATTTATAAAAAAAATGTATATCTATAATTTACATTCTATGTTTTTATTTTTACGAGTGATATTTTACCAGTTATATGCTAACAATCAAGAACTTACTCTTATTGTCTAATTTTTATTTAACTCCCAAAGGTTAAAATCCTCAGATAGATTTAAAATTTTTATTAATTCATTTTTACATATATATATACACACAAATTTGAGAGGCAAGACCAAATTTCCAAATTTTTCTGAATTTAAAAAATAAAGATTGCCTTAGGTATATATTTTGACTATTTGTATAAGTGTTCAGTAGAATGAATATAAATAAATTAATTGTGTTTTAATTAAATTTCAAATTTTTTACAGTTATAAATAACACTTGCCTTTTACTAAAATCTTTTCTACCTGTAAAATTAGTACTATTAATATAATAGTATAATACAAATTGATCACTTGTAACTAATAATATTTAAAATTGAAATATTAATTTAAAAATACAAAATAATTAACTCAAATAAACAAGGAAAATTACTAAAAAAAATATACCTATTATAAGATACCTATTTCGGGAACAACATATTACCCTTACCAACGATAAACAAATACTGATATTCTGACCAAAAAAAACCCTTAAATACCTCTAACAATGTTATTGCTAAAAAATATTATCACATTTTGCCAGTTTATTTTATAGGGAGAATTGTTTTTTTTATTATTTATTAGTTAAGATTAAGGGCAATTAAATTTTGAAATTTATCGAAAAACACACACACATTAAGGTAGATTCCGAACAATTCAAACCACAGCTGGCAACACAAAATGGTAACTTCCAATAGTATGGGTTACGGATCAGTTGGTATTTCAACAAATAAAATATATTTTGTTAAAGCACTAGGGGATATAAGAAAAATAGCTAGATTAAATGGGTGTAACGAAAACGTAACTTAAAAATTAGTCCGAAAAGAAAAATGGATTAAAGAAAGGGGAGAAATCTGGCATTTATAAATTATAATTTGAAATTTATAATAAATGTTACGTAGGACAAACAAAAAGAAATATAGGGGTCAGTCTTAAAGAACACTTCAAAAACATTAAAAATCAAAAAGTTGATAAATCTCCTGTGGCTGACACATTTATTGACAAATCTCTTCATTAAAACCATAAAATTAATTAAGAACATAAAGAACTAAATATTAGGAAGGCAGTATAAATGTTTAATAATAAGAACACTTTTATTAATTGGGATCTTGACCTATTGAAAAATTCATTATTAAACTTGTAAACTAGCAAAATATGATAATATTATTTAATGTTAAGGTCATAAGGGGTTTTTTCAGTCGAGGTATCAGTATTTGATTAGCATTGTTAATGGTAACATTGTTCGTGAAATAGATATCCGCTATTTTTTAGTAATTCTTTTTTGGTTTTTTGAGATAAATACTTTTAATTTTAAATATTGATGTAACTCATGACAGTTCTGATATTTAGCCTCATGCCTCAAATCTTAAAATAAAATAAATTTTTTTTAATTATATGAAGTAATAATTATTTTTTAGTAAATTTAAATTAATTATAAATAGTTTTATTTAATCAGGTAATGTGGCTATGGATTTGTACATTTATTGTTGGTTTTGTACCTGATAGTTTGGGTAAACGTTGGCTCAATCAATATGTATCAATTATGTGTTTTCAAGTTTTGTCAGCTGCACTATCTTCAGTCATAACATACCATAATCATGAGAACCTTCCTAAACGTGGTATTTGTGTTGCTAATCACACATCACCTATTGATGTTCTAGTATTAGCATGTGACAACACTTATGCTTTGGTGGGTGAATATCTGCACTGTCATTTTATCATTAAGCACTTAATGAAAAGTGGATTATCCAATTGTTTATTTGCTACTTATAAATTAAAATTATTTCAAATGTAAATTTAATTTGTTGAATAGAGTATATTTTATTGTAATTACCGTTTGATTGAGATCTACTCTTGGGAACAATTATACAAAAGTAGAAACTTAATAAGAAAAAGCATGAATTTGGAAAAAATACACATTTCTATTGCACAACTCAAATCCGTAAAAAAAATAAATGCAAATAGATACAAATGTGTTAAAATTTTTATAGATTTCTACATTATTTAAAATATTTGTATATATAATATTATCAGTGTTGGGAAAGTTCCTTTTTAAATGGAACTCGTTCCGTTCCCCGTTCATTTTCTAAAATATGAACTCGTTCCAGATCCTAGTTCTTTATATTAAGAAGGAACTTGTTCCAGATCCAGTTCCTCCAAAATAAGAACTCGTTCCACTCTTCGTTCCTTTTATGTAACCAAGTTATTTAAAAAATTGTGGCAATGAGATCATGATAACGGTCATCAATGATTTTCATCAGCAGTCGAATACAAAACAAATTTGTAGTATTCCTTATCTAAAAGTATTCGAAAATTATATTTATAAGCAGGTAGTAAATGCTAACGACTTGTGTCAACGCGACCAATGTCTATTGTCTACATATAAGTTAGAAATAATAAATCAGAAAACCCAAAACCTTTAACATAAATTAGTTAACAAGAAACGACGATAATATTCGGTGCATTATTTAATATATGTACACATATATTAAATATTTACTGTATACCTACATGTGATAATAACTCTATCTATAGTCAATTGATTCATTTAAACAGCCTACGATCTCGGCTGGGTATATAGGGGACTTCCATTGTCAAAAGTCAACTAAAAATACCATAATATTTTAATGTCTAGATACGAAGAAAACTACACTAAAACATGTTTATAAAAATTTTTAGGAACTGTAATTTCCGTTCACGTTCCTTAAAAAATGGAATTTGTTCATTTTCCTCGTTCCTTTATTTTAAAAGGAAGCAGTTCCTAGCATCGTTCCTTCAAAAAGAACTCGTTCCAGGAATCCGTTCCTTTTGGAACTAGTTCCTTCTCAACACTGAATATTATATAAAAAGTAATATTAATACTGTAATTAAAAGAATATACATCATTTGAACAAAATTGAGTGTAATATAACTTAAAAGAAATAATATATTAAAATTGTCTCCATTCAAAAATATTTAATTTATAAAAAATACAAAATTAACTTTTTTAAGAGACTATAATAATGTTGTAATTGGATAAACTACTGGTGTTGGTTTTGAATTAAATTGGAACTTAAAAAACATTATAAATTATCTCGCTTATAATTTTTTTAGATTGGACAACGCCATGGTGGATTTTTGGGTATTCTTCAAAGAGCATTAGCAAGAGCTTCACCTCATTTATGGTTTGAACGATCTGAAGTGAAGGATAGAGAAATTGTTGCAAGAAGGTATACTCATTTTAATTTATGAAATATGTAATTATAATTTATTTAATTGTAGACTAAAAGAACATGTCTCAAACCCAATAAATCCTCCTATACTTGTATTTCCTGAAGGGACATGTATTAATAATACATCAGTAATGCAGTTTAAAAAAGGCAGTTTTGAAGTGGGAAGTGTCATTTATCCAGTGGCCATAAAGGTATAATAGTAGTTATTAGCTATAATATTTATTAGAAACATATTAAATATGCACTTAGCAATTCTGAAATAATAATGGATTACTTTGATTAATTCATAGAAATTATAAAAAGTTTTTAAATTCTTTAATTGATGTGGATTTTTTAAGCATTTTTGAACACAAATAAACTATTAGACTATGATCTAAGATAAGTATGTTTAAGTAAGATAATGTTTTTTATGGGCAGTGGTGGATTTAACGATTCTCCGCGGCCCTATGCAAAATTTAAATTGCCACCCCTATCAGAAAAAAATAATTTCTACATACAGGGACAAAACTAAAGGGGGAGTGAGGAGACACGTTGCCCCCTTAACCTTACCCCAGTGCTCGAGTTGGCATAAATTTTTTTTTTTAACACGCTTATATTAGTTTTACATGTATGTTGTTTGTATGTTGTATGTTGTAAGTTTGTAATTCCACGCGGCACGTGTTATTATGTCGCGTATGCCGTCGTTTATGGCCTTGAGACTAGACCGTCGTAACGCATTCACCCCACCCCGCTCACCAGTCGGCGCCTACACTATTTTTAACACGCTTATATTAGTTTCACCTGTATGTATGTAACTATTCAAACGCCACGCGTTATCGCGTATCCCGTCGTCTATGGCCTTGAGACTAGACATTCACCCCTCCCCACGCCTCGCTCACCACACGAAGGCACACTATTCCTATAAAAATTTATTTTTAGTTATCGTACCCGTACACGCGTGCTTGTCATCAATATTATATATATATAAACAAATTTTTATTTTGACTGACCAATAACGCCCGCGTCTAATGCGCCTTACGTATATATATATATATTCCTACCGCCGTTTATACCTCGGGTATAACGTTAGTCCGACCCGCCCGGCCATAAAACACAGCTATACTTAGTGCATGATACTTTTACGTAGTTAAGTCGCATTATTTGTATAAATATATATATTCTAATTACTATTAAAATTAATATATTAACACGATTTATTCTAATTAAGAGATATAAAGTATTCATTCCGATTACGAGGGATGATTTCCGTATCGTCATTTTTCGTCACTACCTCCACGTTCCGGGAGTGAGTAATTTACGCGCCTGCTGCTTTCCTTGGATGTGGTAGCCGTTTCTCAGACTCCCTCCCCGGAATCGAACCCTGATTTCCCGTTACCCGTAACAATCATGATATTGATAGTAACTACTATCATAACATGAAACTAAAAAGTAAAAAATAAATATAGTTTAAAAAACTAAAAAAACACGCTTTTAAAGCACATCGAACTAAAAAGTTAAAAATAATTATTTTAAAAATTATTTTTAACTCACGGCCGACGACGTCCCGCCGCTATACCGTACTACGTAACGGTAACCGTAGTCTTCTTCCCATTGTCAAAATAACATCGTCAACAAACTTTTTGCGCACTCGCGCACCGTCGTCATCTACGCTGCTAACCTATTGACGCACGAGGATCACGCCGGACATCGCGTCTTCGACGCCAGCAAAAGTGCCGCGATATTATGCGAAGATTGTATATTCCTACCGCCACCGCTAATATTAATATATATATATATTAATATTTATACGTATATGTTAATATTCATTTATATATTTCTACAGCCGACGCCTCTGCCGCCGTATATGCCTCGTTTATAATGTTCCCTCCGCCATGCCCGCCCACATAAACACGGCTATACCTCATGCATGATACGTTTACGTACTTAAGTCCCTTTAAATATATATATATTCTAATTACTATTAAAATTTATATATTAATACACTTTATTCTCATTAAGAGATATGTAGTGTATTCATTCCGATTACGGAGGATGATTCCCGTATGTCATTTTTCGTCATTACCACCACGTTGGGCGCCTGCTACTTTCCTTGGATGTAGTAGCCATTTCTTAGACTCCCTCTCCGGAATCGAACCCTTATTTCCCGTTACCCGTTACAACCATGATATTGATATTAACTACTATCATAACATGAAACTAAAAAGTGAAAAATAAATATAGTTTAAAAAAACTAAAAAACATGCTTTTAAAGCACATCGAACTAAAAAGTTAAAAATAATTTTTAGTTCGATGTGCTTTAAATACTAATACTTACATTTTTCGAAAAGTTATAGTATTTTTAAGTTGAAAATTTAAAATCGAAAATTTTAACACAAAAATAGCGTTTTTTTAACTACGGCAGCCGTTTACATGCAGAAGATAAAGTGTCGGGACAAATTTTTTTTTTTTCATTTTACAGTAATAAAATAAGCTTTAATTTGGTATATGTTTAAAGGACGCAGTATTTCCGGAACATTTTCAAAAATTAAGTTGAAAAAGTTAGTTTTTGTAAAAAAGTTGCAATTTTAAATCCCCCCCAGTGAGCAGGTTAAGTGTTAAATTTTCAAAAAAATGATATCAAATGAAAAGGAAATATCTAAGGTTTTAGTATAAAAAAAAATTATGTTGATTTGTTTATTTTTGAAAAAGTTATGGAAGTTTTAAGAAAAAAAAGTGAAAAAAATGACAAAATTTACCGATTTTTAAAATTGTTATTTTTTTGGAGATTTGTGATTGGAGAGCTGAGAAAAAGTAGTGACAGCACACAAAAAAAAAAAAAATAAATAAATACATCATGGTAAAATTAATACCTTCTCAGCTTCGCATCGAAGCTAAAAATATATAAAATAATTAAAAATTTGTTTAATTAATTTTTTTTATTCTTTTTCCCTCGACTCTACCGACTATTTGCAAGGCAAAACCTAAAATCTAACAGACGACTGTAAATTAAAGGTGATTGTGTCATGGATTCTTTTAATGCATTGTTACTAATGCATTAAAAAATATAAAAAAAACTTTTATTTTCTATTTTCGGTCGAAAAGAATCGATTTACAATCCCCAACAATTTTAATTATATACAATGTTTTAAACTTAACTAAGTACTAACTACATACATATTACTAGATATTATTATTATAGATTTCATGTAACAATAAATTATATAAAATTATGTATAAAATTAATTTTTTCATAGTTGTGAATAAATTATTAACTACAAATTTGATACTCGCAACACTTTAACGTTTAATAAGCGGTAGCATTTTAAATAATATAATTTCATAATCTTATGATATTTGATCACAATTACATATTCATTTTGTTTTATATTATGAGAGCTTTATCGCCTTTATCAATGAAAATAATATGTAACGCATAGCATAACTGTCAATAGTAGAATGATGTGCTGTTCCAAAATAATATTAAGCGGCCGTACAGGTGTGCGGGTGCTATATGGAATGATTGACAGGGAGTGATTGAAGAGTTCGGTTGTAAAACATCTAAAAGCGCATTTTCTCGGTCATATCGTTGTTTCGTTTGCCCGTATGGCGTCCTCTTAAGTCACTCTCTATAGTTAACATTGCCAAGGAGTTTAATTTTTCTTGCAACATAGTTGATCGTAAATAATTTTTCAATCTCTTTAAAACCGAAAACGAATGTTCGGCAGTACAGTTAGTACCTGGTGTTGAGATAAATATTCGAAGGGCGATTTCAATATTTCGATATAGTTCTTTAATGTTACGCTCATAAATTACTAGCATTAATAAAAACGGTGTAATTTTCTTTTCATTAAAAGTTGTAATAAGATGAGAACGAAAATGTAATAGTTCATTTATAAACTCATTTTTTTCTAAATCTAAATTGTAAACGTTAAATAGTTCATTTGCTTTTTCCACTATCTCAGAGTCTTCTAATTCATGAAGATTGGTAAAAAAATCGAATGGTTTACTAAATGTTTCATATGCTTTTCGTCTATAACTCAATTCGGTAGCTAATCTGTCTAGTATGATATAAAGTGTTAATTCTAAAATTGTCTTTTGCCATTAATCTACTTGACCATCTTGTGTTTCGTCATGGTGAACTGTTTTTTTTTTCTTTTTATAACATTTTTAAAATAAGTTTTGTTTTTTACTTTGCATAGTGCTTTTTCTTTGTATACATTAAATGAATCTTGCTGTGAGTCTACTAGATGAATCAATGAATCATACAACTCGAGGACTGTACAGATATCAATGTTAATATTCTGTAATTGTTTGCTTACAGTATTTAATCTGTGAAGTAGAAAACTCCATAAGAAAGCCAAGAATGTCATTTCCAACTTTTCAAGTTGTATTCTAAGTCCTCGTGCTTCACATATTGTTTCTGATTTTTCAGTTTTATCTATTTCGATTGCTTTAAAAACTTGTACTATTTCATCCCATTATTCATTTAAGCTGACACAAGCATCATACCTTGACGACCAGCGCGTAACTGAAAGACTTTACCGTTTTAGCATTTGATTTCAAATGAGACTTTAAAATTGATCATCTGTGAGTTGATGCCGAAAAAAAATTATAAACATGTTGCAATAGACAAAAAAACTTGACAGATTTATTTGAAGCTTCAACGGAGTGTGTTCCCACTAAATTTAAAAAGTGCGCTGCACACGGTATGTAAAAAGCTAATGGATTGAGTTCTCTTATTCTTGCCTGTAGAACTTTATAGGGCACCGACATGTTATTGGCATCATCGTATGACTTCAAATTGATTTCAAGTAATTCCAACATATCAGTAACAATGCTTGTAAGTTTTTCAGATTAGTGACCTGCAATGTCTATAAAACCTAAAAATCTTTCCATGGCATTCCTGTTTTTATTAACAAAACGTATAATAAAAGATAACTGGTCGTCATGGAAAATATCGGAGATTGAGTCTACAATAATGAAGTAGTATTTGCTTGTTTTTGTTTGAGTGACAATAGTGTTTTTTACTTTGTTAGCCATAAGTTAAATAATTTCCTCATATATTGTAGATGATAAATACTATGTATTTCCACTCTCAGAATTTTGAAATCGAGTTACATGTTGAGACAAAAACGGATTAAATTCAGAGAGTAATTCTACAATCATTAAAAAATTACCGTTATTCACGGATCCTATTTTTTCGTCATGTCCTCTAAACGGAAGTCAACGTGACGCTAATTTTTTTACAATTCTAGTTAAGACACTTCTCCAGTAAATTTTTTCTTCACTTGCTCTATCAATTTTGAATTGATACGTTGTATTGTATTACCTCGATCCATAAGTTTAACAACACAAGTCCTATGAAATGAGGAATTTTCATGTTCTTTTAATCGCACAGACGCAGATTTCCAGTCATTGTACCCTTCAGATGCTAAAAATGAATCATTATTATTGTCTTAGAATAATCTACAAGGTCCATAAAATACTTTGCCCGATATTTAAGAATAAATGAACCATGGTCTATCGATTATTTGTCCATTAAAATGTTTTCTCTCAAACATATTCTTCGTTAATAAACGTTTTTCTCCATTACTATATATACGCTGCGATTTAGAAAAATTAATATTTTTATTTTGTTCAAAACCATTAATAGTAAAATAATTTCGAAGTTCATCATTTATAATTCATATTGAAGGATCGTTTAAATAAGACATTGATAATGACTCAAAACCTGTACATATTTCATCTTGGGGAGTAGACAAAGAATGGCAGAAGAGGTTGAAGGTATACATTTTAGATTCTGATTTTCTAATAATTTTTTTTTAAGTGAAGTAAAAATATTAAAATCATTCATCTTAGGTTGAGACAAATTAGAAATAGATACTTGTTGTACCTCATTTTATTTTTTTGGTTTAAAAAATGCATCTACCTTTTGGGTCTGTTTGAGGACATTACTTAATTTTTCCGCCTTCTCTATTGCTTTCTTTTTATATTGAGACCCACTTAACTTTTTTCTGTTCATTTTAACACCAATATCGTCACTTAAAATAATTTACGGATACGTATTGGTATACTTATCGGTTGACGGACTACAACCGACTAACTCAATAAATTTATAAACAGATAAACTGTAGATTTGTCTTATCAAATAATCTAAAAATATCTATTGTTTCTATAAAGCGAACATTTTTGCCTAGAAGGCTACACTCTAGTATTTATTATATATATACATGTATAGTTTTGTAGTATATTACAGATATACTATAATACAGAGTGTCCCACCGTGTTTTACTCAGTTGAACTATTCAATTGATATTAAATAGAGTAAAACACGGTGGAACACTCTGTATAGTACAATCATTGCGTCGTCGTCCTCATTATCAATGAGTTCCTGGGAAAAATGAATATCACATTGCTAAAAATAAAGAAATACAAAATCCTCATACGCTGTTCAAAATTTTGTAGTAGTAAAATAAATTTAAAAATTAGTAACTTTATATTATAAAAACTAAACCAATATTCAACAAAAATTTGCCACCCCCCAAAAAATTTGCCGCCCTATGCAGCCGCATAGGTAGAAGTGCCTTAAATCCGCCCCTGTATATGGGTAACTTACTTTTCACTATCATTTCATATAATATAAACATTTTGTTATTTTAGCGTGGCTGAAAAATGCCATATAATAAAAATAAGTATTTCCAAATTTTAACATCAGGTTCATACAAAAGTTCAAAAATAACTTTGAACCAGTATGAAAGAAGTTTTTAACAATTTTAAAATAGTGGTTCAAAAGCTGTTATTTAATAGTTAGTTTTAAATAAGGTGTCCCAGTTTGTTCTCTATGTTTTCTGTTGTAACAATAAGTACTTATCATAAAGTTGATATCAAAATTTTTTGTAAAAAAAGAGCTAAAAATTTAATAATAAAAAAAAAAAAAGGATCGCAATAAGTTTATTTGATTAAAAGTTAATGAAGATGTTCAAACTAGTGGGAAAATCTGTGTGTATGTGTGTATATATATATATATTACATTACTTTTTAAGTGCAATAACAGAGTAGGTATGTAGCGTGAGCAAAGTGCTTATACATTAGTACAAATTGTAGCCACCTGCTCTCAATTTTACTATTAGTGTAGTCTAAAAATGCAACAATTGTATCCATAGTTATAAGAGTTGTTAGTTAGATCTGTTTCATCTAGTATATGCTATCATTTAAAAAAATTAAGTTGATTTCTTTACGAAGGCATAAGAAATGATCATAAATAAATGTTATTATAAAAAAAAGTTCATTAATTGCACCTATGTCATAACCATCCCTTATACAAAAATTTTATTTTATTAATTTTTAAATTAAAAATAAGTTGAGATTATTAATATGTTTAATATGATTATAACGATTAGTATGATCCAAGATTTGGAGATGCATTTTGGAACAGTAGTAAATATTCTATGTTACAATATCTTTACTTGATGATGACTTCATGGGCCATTGTTTGTGACGTATGGTATTTACCACCAATGTACCAAAATGAAAATGAATCTGGGGCAGATTTTGCTAATAGAGTTAAAAGAGTAATTGCTGATCAAGGAGGTTTGGTTGATTTAGTATGGTAAGTTAAAAACATTTTTTTTGTTTAATTATCTTTTGATTTACTTTTTTGACTATATTTACTATCTATTATATATTTATTTTAATTTTCATTTTCCATTATTTGAAAGAGTGATTTACTCTTAAATTGATTACTTTTAATTATTTTAATGAGAACTCAATAATTTAAAAAGCAAAATTATCTTACAGAAATAATTATTAAATAAAGTTCCTAATAATATTATTTAAAAAATAAGGTTTAAAGTTCTGAATAACTAGTTTAAGTTATTTGACAGCTTAATACAGGAACTTCATATTTTTGTAAATATGTTATTATATGAATTTTTTATCAAAAGTCTTTTAATTATAAATACTGTATTTTTATCATTAAAAAAAAAAAATTCCTTTTTACATTATAACTTTGGTATTAATATATAAAAATGATTTTAAAAAAAGTGCAATTAAAATATTTACTTCATCAATAGTTATTTATTTGCCACGTATTGTGAGGCACTCTGTATACAAGGTGATCAGTTTATCATAAACCACTCGATAATTCGCAAAACAACTACAATATTAAAAAAAAAAATTTTGATTTCTTTAAGTTGCATATATTTCTTGATTTATCAACTAATAATTTCTCTCTAGAATCATCCATTGTATATACTTTTATCTTTAATTACCTGAGCGATGAAGGTGGTTATTCCATCGAAAAATCAACCAACCAATAAAAATTTAATATTTTTGATTTTGATTAAAAGGTGCTTTTATTACAATGTGCTAAATTGCATAAACAACTCAGAAGTGAAAAAAAAGTAAATTGATTTAGTACAACAACAAAAAAACCATATGGCCTCAGTTGCCGAATATAACAGCAATGAAAAAAATGTTTTCATAAATATAATAGATTTCAAAGGTAATAGTTGCCGATAAAACAATAAATAGAAAAATACAAACACTTAAAATTAACTATTTACAATAACAGATGACAAACACTTGAAAGGGAAGGCAAGACTATACAATGATAGAATAGATTAACGATAACAAAGATTATTTACATATACATTTTGTACACTGATACATTAACATCCCATATAAATAAAAAGATGTCAACTTTATTTTTTTAAATGGATACATGGGGATATGTATCCATATTTGACTAGCTTATAAAATAGGAAATAATCTAATTAAGTAAATGACTGGTCAGTAATAACTTTTGGATTTTGGAAGTTATAAACAATTTAAAGTAATGATTGGCAATCAGGAGTAGGTGCTGCTATTTTTATCACTAGTCTTTTTCTGACTGTACTCAACATTCTGCCTAGGTATTGAAATAAAAATAACTTCCAAAGTACTGGTTCAAAAGTTATTACTGACCAGTCATTTAATAAGATTATTTCCTATTTTATGGGCTAGTTAAATATGTATATTGCCATTTAAAAAAATTAAGTTGATATCTCTTTAAGAGTCATAAGGGATGATGCTAGAAAGTAATTATTAGTTGATAAATCAAGAAATATATGCAACTAAAAGAAGTTGAACATTTTTTTTAAATATTGTATTTATTTTGAGTTATAGAGTGGTTTATGATAAGCCTATCTCCCTGTATACATTTATATTAAAAATATAAATTTAAAACTAAAAAATATTTAACTCAAAAAGCCATAAAAAATTACTAAAAAATCGACAATCGACTAGATGATTACAATACTAAGTGATAATGTCACTTATCTTGGGGTATATTTTTCAGTCGGGGTGTCAGTATGTGTTTTGTGCTGATAATGGTATCATTGTTCCTGAAATACATATACTCAATTCTTTTTCAGTAATTTTTGTAGCTTTTTGATTTAAATATTTTTTAATTTTAAATTTATATTATTAATTTTAAATAAAACTTATTTAGTTGTTAAATTGTTAAAGGGACGGCCAACTTAAGCGTTCAAAACCCAAAAAAGAATGGAAAGAGAGACAACAAGAAGAATTTAGCAAACGACTTAAAGTTGAGTAGTAAACAATTACTTTAAAGTAGATTTTTGATCAACTTTGTCCAAAGAGTAGTCTTAGCAATGGAAAAAAAATGAAATGATCATAAGAACAAAACCTAGTCTTGCATCAAACAACATTAAAATTTTAAATTGTTTTGTATACTTTTAGGCAATAGATTAATTTATTTTATTAATAATGGAAACATTTTACTATCTATAGCTTTTCATTAAAAATAGTAAAATATTTGGTCACCATTTTTCTTTTAATAGACTTTGTCTGTGATCTAAACTATTTTTTTTCTTTTACTTGTGGTATTTCAAATGATATTGAAACCTAAATACAATTTGGTAGGGTTTTTTTTATTTTTATCAAAAAATAGAGAACAAGTTACCTATAATATAAATTTTACATGAATTTATTTGGATGTAGTAAATATAATTTTTGTTAGTTCCTTTTTTGTTTAAAGCTATAGAAAAACAAAAAAATATTTTATGTTTATTTTTATAGAATTATGATATACCATTACATCATTATTTATTATATATTAAACAATATTTTTATAAAAAAAAAAAAATCAATATTTGTGTATAAAGTTGTGAATATATTATATATGTAACAAGGAAATTTAAAAACATAATATTTATGTTATCTTTGTAAATAACTTTATTGAGTTATTTTTTTTTTTAACTTTATAAACATTTATTAAGCTCTTTGCTTCTAAAATCAATTCACATTATACTTCTCGCATGCAAGTTTCTGTTCCAGTGCAGTCATTACTCCTTTAAATCATTTTTAATCACTTAAAACCATCATTGTTTGGAAGTCTCTTTAGCCTGTTCTACTTAGTTTACCATTATCTTAATACAAGATTTTTTAACTATGCGTATATAGCATATTCGGTCACTTATTGGTTCAAAATCCTTTACATGAAGTAATAGTTCATTAACTATAAAACCCTCATCTTGGAAAACCATACTACAGGGGATAGCCTGTAATTTTACAATCATATTACTTTAAGGTCTGATTAGGATTATTGCAATAGACCTAAAAGAATTATAGATAATGATGCCACTTTCCTAACGTCTTAGCGTTTAAAAAGGCTTTTATAAAACTGAACCAATTAATTAAAGTTTTTTCAGTTTAAAGACCCTATGAGCCCTATATTCACCACACCTTTACCACTGGTAATACTTACTAATCTCCAAAAAATCCCAAAGGATTTTATTTGATAATCTGTTAGAATTATCTATATCAAACAAATAGTTTAGTAAGAAAACCTTCCTTAGAAAAGTCTATAACAACTTTCATTGTTCATCACGTTCATTTTACTATGCGAGCTTATGCATAATCCAATAATTAGGGGTAATAAAATTATTTGAAATGATTTTATATTTTGCTTCGATGTTATCCGTTTCTTGAGATTTATTTATGTACAAAAATAATACAACTTATAGGCTCAGTTGAAAAAAATGCCACATAAAAATTTAATTCTGACACGGAATGATTTTGCAGTAAATTATATTGAACATCAATAGTTTTTTAACTAATTGACAGCAGTGGCTAACTGCTAATTTGTATAGTAAAATAATTATAATGAATGTAATATAACTAACTAGTCCTAAAGTAAGTATTATTTATTTATAGTTTTAATTTTTTTATTTATTATATACAAAAATCGATTTCCCCCCAATTTATTGTTTATATATTTATGTCGGGTTTTTTTCTCATCATTTCTTGTTTAGAATAATGAAAATATTTTTTGGAACGAGCTGGGTCACCATAATTATTGTGCTTTCTGGTTTGTTAGCCTCCTAGTCTGTGCATACTTATCTATTCAATTAAAACATCTTATATTTAATTAGTCACCATAGTCTTTTAAGGGATTCCAGCAGCTATCAAATAAGTGTTAATGTTACTAACAGGATATGCGTGTAAAGAAAAAGCCAATCAGAATTATAAAATTAAAGTTTTATTGGCTTACTATGGAAATGAGATATGTTCAAATATGTAAAATTTATTTTAAAAATTCAATGGTTTGGAAAAATACATTAATCGCGATTTTTGTTTTAATCCTATCTTTGTTAAAAAGGGTACAATCTTAAAATCCATCCAGCAAACAAACTACTATATGTGCTAACATATTTAATGTTAGGATAGTACAATTTAATAATGACAATCAATATTTATTCTATTTAGATTTTAAATAAAGGCAAACAACACGCTCATACGAGTTTACACGTTTAAATTTTAGAAAACATGAACTTTGTTCTTATTTTATATGAACGTGAATGTTTTAGGGTCGTTAATTTGTCTGGTTTATACTATTTAAGTTTTCATTAAAATAAATACCTAAAATTTAATATCAATATTAATTTAAAAAAAATAATAATATAAGTGGGGAGGTAACATTAATTTTCGTGTTATGATTGTAGGTGTAAATATCAGTCACAAAAACGAGGTTTGAAATGAATTTATACATATATATTCTATTTAAACAGAATGTAAATTAATTCATTTTATATAAAAATATGAATTTAAATTGAATAGTTATAAAAATGAATTATTTAAAATGTTGATAAAAATTAAATATATATATATTATTTTCATTTTCCAAAAACATACTAGGTGATTTATTGATCAAGTCACTTGTTACTTACAAAAACTTATCTAAAACATTTTAGCTTCGATGCGAAGCTGAGAGGTATTAATTTTACCATGATGCGTTTATTTTTTTTTTTATTTTGTGTGACTGTCACTATTTTTTCACAGAAAAGATCACAAAAAGAAGATATTACCCATAGAAATTACAAAATTTTTCCTCGTTTCCTGTAAATGGAAGAAGGTCTCAAAAAAAATTATAATTTTTAAAATCATTAAAATTTTGACATTTTTAAAAAAATTTTTTTTTTTTTTTTAATTGCCATAACTTCATACATATGCTAAAATAAAGCTAATATTATGTACTATAAGTTCAAAAAGAAAATTGTCCTGACGACTTATCTATTATGTACAAATGGTTGTTGTAGATAAAAAACATGCAATTTTGGTGTTAAAATTTACGATTTCATATTTTATTTTTTTTAACTTTAAATTACTATAACTTTTTGAAAAATGATCAATACAATTATTTTTTTATAAATATTTTATGTTCATATTTTTCATTTGATATACATTTTTTGAATATCTTACTTCAGTGGGATTCAATAAAACAATTATTACACACAAATTAAAATTTTTTGAAAATTTTCAGGAAATATTGACATTTTTATTTAATATTAAATTAAAGCTTATTTAATATACTAAAATATTACTAAAAAAATTTCGAGATATAGTGGACATGGTTATCATATTCAAAAATGTGCTATTTTTGTGTTAAAATTCTTGGTATTGTATTTTAATTTATTTTAATATACCTTATAATGGGGTACACTGATTTTCATGAATATTATATAAAACTAATTGACATAGTTCAACATATTTCAATTTTTTTTTCTTTTGAGTCGAAAAAATTAATTTTAATATTTAAATTAGCTTAAATTGCCAATTGTTTTAAAAAAACGAATATGATGAACGTTTACCATTAGCAATGATGTTTTGCAATTTTTCCTTAATTATTTTTGAGTTAGAATTTTGATTTTGAATAATCCACCACTAATTTCTTAAAATTAAACAATATCTACAGATTTACATCGAAGCATTTCTTATGAAAGTGATTTTAATCACTATCATATATCATATATACTAGTCCCAATTATGCCACGCTCACACTGTGCTACCGTTTTTATTTGTTATATACATTTTATTTGTTTAATTTATCAAGTTTTTATTTTCAATCGCAACATACATATATAATAAACTTATATAGCTTTTTCTACTTTCCCTCTGCATATATTTTTTTATTTAATATGTTAAGTTTTACTTGAAATTTAAAGAAACTACCCAATAAGCATCAATACATGTCAAATTCATTTGTTTTATTAAAAAAATTTAATGTTAGAACGAATGCATATGGATTTCTATTTAAGATAAATTTTCCAAACCATACATAAAAAAAAATTATACATTTTATTTCATAAAATATTTAAAAATTTTTCTTCAGTTTTGTCATTAATTAAAAATAAAAGTTCATTGTGATAAACTTAAATTAGTTCATATATTATTAAAGGAATTGAACTTGAACAGTTAACTTTTAAGAAGAACTTTCAATATAGATTTGTTTTTTTATAAAAACTTAATTATTATTTTCATAAAAAAAAAGATATTGATATATTTAGAGATATAATAAATAAAAATCATTTGTAAGAATCATTATATTTTTTATGATAAGAAGCATTCAAATTTGTAAATTCATAAAGTTTTAGAATCATTAAAACTTCCATTTTATACTTATTCCTTCATGTCAACTTCAGCTCCTTCACTTTCATCATCTACTGATCTAATATATAGAATGTTGTTACACCTAAAATTAATTCAAAAATATAAATACTATTATTAGCAATAAAACATCTAAATGCCACCATTACCACATATGTAATAAATAACATACTTAAACTGGTAACGTATCAATACCTTAAAATATAATGAAGTACCAAAAACAGAACTTTAAAATGTTAATATTATTGATTATTATCAGAGCTGTATATTCATGCATTTGCATGTTATTTTGCTACAATACAAATCATGCTAAATGAAATACAAATCCAATTAGTAATAATAGTAATAAAACTGTGAAGTTTTATAGTGCATATTTTAGAAGTATAGTCATATTTTGCATACTTTATATTTGTATTATTAGCAAATATCATTTCCTATAAAATTAGTAAAATAAATGTCAGAAAAATGTTATATAAAAGTGATAGTATAATTAAATACCCAAACACTTTTTGAATTTATTTTCTGAAAATATTCATGAGTAGTAGTAATGAATGAATGAAGTAAGTTAATAAAATAAAAATTATTTTAAACACTTTTGCAACTACCAAAAAATTGATTTACATTTTAAAAAAAACCTAACTAAAAAAAACAAGTACAAATAATGTCTATGGTCTATAATGTTACCAATAAGTTTTTTATTTTTTTCTTCTAGAATCCAAAAAAAAAAAATCAAAACATTTTCAATTACATAAATGTCTTAAAATAGCTTAAATTTTTAAACTTTTAATTATTAAAGCTGATGTTTTTAACTATATTCAAGTCTCTTTACATATAGATTAGCAAAATTGATCCAGTAAAAGCTGAGAATTTTTTGTTGTCTATTCATAACAATAAATTCTCAGATTGCATTGTAGCTAAAAGTTAAAAGAGGCCTGCAATAATTGCTTGGATTAATTTTACATGAACTAATTTTTATTTTATCTTTTCAATATAAAAATTGAAAAACAGAGCATTTGGATAACTATAGTTCAGATAATGGAGGTTTTAATAGGTGATATAATAGTGAATTTAAATTTTAGAGCATACCTAACCATAATTTCGCCAAGAAGAGCTGGTTCACTCCCTTCAACAAATTCAGTTGCACTAGCTAATTGAATGTTCATATAATTGTCAGTAGATACCAAAAATCCTTTGTACTCATGACCCCACTTTAATTTTACAATTATTGTTTTACCCATAAGACCATTTAAATATGGCTTAGGATTAACTGGCATAGTAGTCATGATTGAAGAGTTGAATTCTTTCTAAAAAAAAAAATATTTCATCCTTAATATTGTAATACAAATTTAACTATTTTAGTAACGGATATATAATGTAAACATACATCGTACTTATAAAATAAATAATGAATTATTGGAATAAAATATTAGTATGATACACACAAATAATAATGCGATGTTAATAATGTTTTAAATATTTTTGTGAAAAAATAATACAATTGACTAAGTAGAATATATAAAATTATTAGTTGTAAAATTTTATTAAAATTTCTATTAATATTGTAAATATCCTTGGCACTTGGTTTAAAATAACACTAATAACGTTACTTAATAACTTCCTAAGTCCTAAAAATGCGGTAAATCTGAAGAATTATGATAGTGTTATTTTATTGGTTATTGTAATTTTAGGAGGGGGGAACTCTAATCCTGAAGAGATAAAAATCTGTTTACTGTAAATCAATGATAGTTAAATTATACAAATTTACAATGTCCTAAAAGATAATACTTATACCACAGTTTTTAGCAACTAAAACCATGGTATATACTATTATGTAAACATTTACATCAATGTTATTATTGTACGGTCAATCAAAGTGGATAAGTCCACCAATAAAATGTAAGCCATAGTAATGCAACTTGTAATTAATTTTGATAACTATTACAAACTGTTATTGTTACTTTAGAAATAAGTGTGATGGTAAACTGCTATTTTTTTTTTAACATCTGCTAATGCTATTTTAAAATAGCAGTAAATAATAGCAGCTATTGATATTTTGTAAAAACAGCTCGTAACATAATGCTTATCATTAATTTTTAGTTATTAACAGCTAATGTTTATAGCAATTAGCAATAACACTGTAGAAATCATTATTTTCGTTAGGGCCAGGGGCTCAAGGCATTGATGGCGGGCAGTATGATGTATAATTTATTCAACTGGCGTATGATACTATGATATCCAACGGTTATAATATTACATTAATATATATATAATGTTTAAGCCGTGTTAGTGTGAACTGTGAAGGTGAACCGTTTGACATAACACATGGTTTATAAAATATAGACATAAAATATTGGAGACTGAAAAATAATGTGAACTTCAATTAACAATCATATTTATGGGCTTTATTTCAAAAATATTTTTTCTAAATGATTAAAACGGACATTAGGATTTGTTCTATTTAACATGAGTATAATAAATATTAAATTTCAAGAATTTCAACTCTAAAGAATCAAGAATTCAAGAATTGAATTTGAATTTGAAGAAGATTCAAGAATCAACTCTAAATTCAAGCAAATTGAAAATTGTGATTGGTCAAAAAAGCAAAATGTGTTTGGACATTATTTTTTAGGAAATTTTATATTAATTCCTTATATTACAATATTTAATAAAAAAACAATTAATTAATTAAAAATGCTCATTGGGAAATATATTTTTTTAATTTATTTTCTATATAATTAAAAATGTTATGTATTGTTTTTCATAAATAAATAAATTAATATAATTATTATCATACTTGGAAAAACTGTCGTTAGTGTTTCAAGTACTTTATTAATAAAATAAATGTATCTTAGTACAGTACCAAGTATTTTATGTTGAATTGAAAATGTATTTTGGATGGGTGGTGTATAGATTAATACATAGTAAATAAAACATTACTAAATAGTCCAAAACATTTTTATTTTTAAACTATAAATTATTATTATTATACATTATTACATTGCATATTGTTTAATCTTTTATGACATTATGGAGAGATGACATATATCATTTTTCCAACTATGCCTATTTCTCTGAATGTGCATGTCCAGACAAGACTAATAAAAGCTATTTTTAGTATGTTTCATAATTAAATGTATGAACGAAAAATATAAAAATAAACAATAAAATTCCATTTCTAGACTGGTATTAACATGTTGAATTATTATACCAAATCTTATGTCTATAAGATAATACAAATGAAGCACATTCTTCTTCTACATATCATAGGGTATAATTGATATATTTGATTGTTTGTTTTTGATAGTTTTATTTTATTTATTTAACAATGAATCGTAATATAAGTAATATTTGGTATCATTTTACAATAATTGATAATACTAGATTTGCAAAATGTATTATTGACTATTGTGGTTTTTGTTTTTACCGATAATACTGTATTTGCCGTATTAGATATTGAAATCTGGTAACTGGATAGGCGTTGATAACAGAAACATTTTAGACGCTTAACAGCTAATGCCGAATGCGCATTATCAATTATCATGTGGCGACCCACGCCACTATCAGCAGCTAGTCATCTTCAGTGTTACCGTTTTTATGTCACGTGATTATTTTATTGTATTTTGTTAAACATTGTTGGTATTCGTCGTGAGTTTTGATTATGTAATCGTCCCTACCTGTGTGCCTTTTTAACACGCTTATATTAGTTTCACTTGTATGTTTGTTGTTTGTCGTTTGTTGTTTGTTTGTAAGTTTGTAACTCCACGCGGCACGTGTTATTATGTCGCGTATCCCGTCGTGTATGACCTTGAGACTATACTGTTGTAATGCATTCGTCCCACCCCGCTCCCCACTCGTAGACAACAATATTTTCTAACCCGTAGACGCGCGCGCGTCATCAATTATGTATATATATAACGACTCGTGCCACCTTTATCAGCCGTCGCCCTATTATGAGTATTTGACTGACCAACACCTCGCGTTATACGCCGCTGTGCAAAGTCCAGCAAGCGCCGCACGCCCGACGACATTCCGCCGCAAATGATACCGTAGTCTTCTACCCGTTGTCAAAGTGACAACGTCTACGATTCGATCCGCACTCGCGCGGCGTCGCTATCAACGCTGCTAACCTGTTGACGTCCGAGGAACACGCCGGACAACGCGTCGTCGATGCCAGCGAAAGTGCCGCGATATTATGCGAAGATTATATATTAATATTTGTACGTATATGCGTATATGTTAATATTCATTTATATATTCCTACAGCCGACGCCTCTGCTGCCGTATATGCCTCGTGTATAATGTTCCCTCCGCCATGCCCGCCCACATAAACACGGCTATACCTCATGCATGATACGTTTACGTACTTAAGTCCCTTTAAATATATATATATTCTAATTACTATTAAAACTTATATATTAATACACTTTATTCTCATTAAGAGATATGTAGTGTATTCATTCCGATTACGGAGGATGATTCTCGTATCGTTATTTTTCGTCACTACCTCCACGTTACGCGCCTGCTGCTTTC